TAATGTAGATATAGAAGGAGGGAATGAAAGAGATATTAAAAAAGGAATACAAAAGGCAATAGGAGCTTTCATAGCATTCGGGAATTTGTGGAGGTCAAAAGAAATTAAAAGAATACTAAACTTAATTTTTTTATTCTTATGTCAAATCAGTACTTTTGTATGGGGGGGGGGGGGGGGGGCATGGAGAACACTAAACGCAATTACTAAAAAATTACACATTCATTAATTGGTGCCTGCGCAGAATAGAGGGAATTAAATGGTATGCGAGAGAACTAAACAGGCTCCAGTGGACCAAGAGGTGAGGAAAAGACTCTAGCGTTGGATAGGACACACACTGAGAAAACAAGAGAACAGCATAACTAGAAAGTCTTTGCATTGGAACCCACAAGGACATAGGAATAAAGGAAGGAAAATAAAACACAGGTAGAAAAGAGCTGGAGAATGAAGCTAGAAAGATGGGGAGGACATGGGAAGAGCTCCATGTAATGGCTAAGGATAGAACGACTTGGCGTGAGTTGGTTGATGGCCTTTGCTCCATTGGGGGATAGACAGGAAGAAGAAGAAAAAAGTGATATGCAAATTAAATAGTTCATCGTGTCACTGTACACCTCACTGTGGAAGTCTCAAGACTGATCTGTTATATCTTCAACTGACTTGTAGTGAACAAGGCAGATATTCTAAAGACCATATATGCACGACTGTTGACAGAAGACACGTCGGACTGTTTGTGTTAGCACTTCGGGTGGCTACCATATGCTTTTAATACTAGTGTATGCTAGATTTGCTGAGACAGCAGTTTGTCAATCTTTCCACAAGGGACTGTGATAAACATTCTGTGTGTTTTTCGTTGGCACAGGAGCGGAGCAAAGATGGGGTGACCCGTTTGCTATGAAGCTGAAATTAAAATTACCAGATTACCAGGTTACCAGAAGACACAAGATTAGATGAAATAACATGGGCAAGAATGTGTGAACGAGGAATTAAATGTGGATCCGGCAAGAAGGGGCTAATGAGAGGAAGAGATCGGCGTGTGTATAATCAGTGTGCTACCGGAACAGATACCATCTACACCTTACGTCGTTTGCTGTGGGAGACGGAGCATCTATGGGTTTGACTGGTGTGCTATGATGTCGATTCCTAAATTAATAACCAGTAATCATTTGAAAATGTTAAAGCGGAAAGCTCTAAAGTCGACTTCTTTGCTCCGGGTATTAGCCTCTTTGATTCGGTCTCTCTCTGTAAAACTGCTAGCTGCCTGTTGAAAGAGTCACATAAAGCACAGACTCCACTGCTCCAGCTGCGATCTCCATAGATCTAGGTGAACACTGTAGTTAAGAACCGTACGGTGCAGTAGCTGATGCCAACCCACGACTTTCAGTTAGCAAACAGCTTAACCATTTAGCCAGTAACAGTATATAAATAATCTTAGTATTTTTTTTTATTTTATAACATAATAAGTACGCAAATGAGGGTAAGACTGACTGACTGAATTTCTACCCCACCAGGACATCACACAAGCGATAAACACTCGATGACACAAAGTGCCACCATGCGGATGAGGATCACCGTGGAGAGGTCCCAGAAACCGCGTTCAGACATTTGGCCATAATGATGACCTGCCTATATTGCGGCCCCTGGCAAAAGCCAGAGTGGGGCTTCAAATAACAAAAAATTACGTCCTGAGAAGGACGTAAGGGATAAGCATTGAGGGTAAGACTTGAGAAAAGAATATAATGGTATGAGAAGGAATCAAGAAGATGAATGGAATTGAAATTATCAGGTGACGTCACAATGGTTTGTTGAGCCATATTTAGGATTGCAGGTCAGTAAGAAGAGATCTCACATTCTCTCGTGAAAAAAAAAGGCACAAGTAGAGGAATTATGACAAATCGGTTTTTTTGGTATTGCATTCCACATAGTCGGTATCAGAAGATGTAGACACTTTGTATCAGGGGAAATAATAACATTTGTAAAATATTTCATGGGAAGTAATTTAAAGAAAAAAAACATTATCTAAAATAACAGAAGAAAAGCCATTAGCACATGGAAAGGAAAACTGTTCGTGATGTATTAATATAAAAAATTATTTAGTTATGGTTTCTTTCTATAGAAAATTTGCTTTCTTTTATAATTCTTTCGCAAAAATAGGTCATCTCTTCAAATATTGCAAATTTGTTAGTACATCTTTTGTTTGGTGAACTTTTTTAAATTAAATAGTAGCGTTATGAATTGTGCTATTGATTTTTCGATAGTTATTATGAAAACACTTTTTTTGACAGGCACAATTCATGTGCCTCCACCACCAATATATAATACATGTACAAATATATCGTCAGTTGCTAAGTATAGAAAAAAAAAAAAAACCCTTCTTAATCCAACGTTTAAAAAGTTACTCTTTATATTTGGAAAGACAGTATATATCTTAAAACAGACAACATTAATTCAAAATAGAATACAAGGAGGAATAGGGGTGCAAGATATTCCGACAAAAATCAAAACACTGAGACTAAAACACAGAGGAAACATCATCAATCACCCAGACTAACACCAATTGGCGCACTATTACATATCACTTTGATTACACCAGTTAGGACAAAAATTGAACTGAACTGACTTTCTACCCCACCAGGACATCACACAAGTGATAAACACCCGATGACACAAAATGCCACCATGTGGATAAGGATCGCCGTGGAGAGGTCCCAGAAACCGCGTTCAGACAATTGGCCATATTTATGACCTGCCTATATTGCGGCCCCTGGCAAAAGCCAGGGTGGGGCTTCAAATAACAAAAGATTTCGTACTAAAAGGGACGAAACTGTGTATAACATAGGAAAAAAATTATATTACTTCACCACATTAAAAGTGTAAACCCTACAGTTTTTCTGCAGGTCATGCCTAAAATACTTAAAAGGAAACAGAAAATTCATAAAACAATACAACAAGGCAACACGTTTAGATCTTCAACATCATACGGCAGGTCCTCAACACGGTCTGCCTGAATGAAAATCGGTCAAAAGAATATTCAAGGAATCACTTTTATCCTGTTCATCTGCATTTTGCCCCTCACTTTTGCAGGCCATCAGGCGGCTAAAAAAGGACTAAGCTTGGAATTTTTGTTTGATTTTATACGATACGATACGCCAAACACACTTGTGAATGAATAGTGACCTAATTTGTTTAGGGAGATTAACGTTACTTTAACCTAATTTTCATAGTTTGGTCATTGTAGTTAACTTCTTTTGTATTCCAAAGTCCTTTATAGCATTCCATAAACTGTTTCTATGTATTCGTACGCCTTTTTTAAAATCCACAAAAACACACCGCTTCTATATTCTCAGTTTTGTTGTGCTATTTGCCGTAAAATAAATATCTGATTTATTGTTGATCTGTTCTGTCGGAAACCCGCTTGGTAATCTCCCAGTATGTCTTCGATATATCCTTTTAGCCTGTGTAGCACCCATCACATATTAAAATACCCCCGTGTGGGTTCCGGGGCCCCATTGTGGGGGAAAACAAGAATAGACCCACTGCCTCCCCAAAAGCATGTCGTAAGAGTCGACTAATTGGGGAGCTTCCTTTGAAGTCGGAGTGCATCTGCCGGAAAGACAAGGAACCAACAGTCTGTATTAAAGAGAATGAGATCTGTAAAACTGATGCGCACGCAACACTCAGGTTCTGGAGCAGGACTGCAGTTCAGTAATGGACGAGCAACCAGAACTTTCCGCGAGAGTGTACAGCTGGTGAACGCGAAGAAGAAGAAGAAGAAATATTAAAAAACATTTAAAAAAAAAAAGCAAAGCATAACAAATTCACATATAGCAAAGGCTGTGTTTTTTATTTTGCATTTACTGCTTAAATAAACTAAAAAGATAGAAAACAATTTATCATATGGTATATATGCGCTGAGAAGCGGTTGGACGAACGGTTGGAACGCTAGGCTTTCAAGCGGGAGACCCGGGTTCGAATCCCCAGTAAGGCTGGTGATTTATTTTCTCTCTGGTGCCATATAAAATCATAACCTGCACAGTCGTGGCGACAGCACTAGCCATGCGACCGTAAATCCTCAGACTGAAAGACCTACACCGCAAAAATCGTATAATAAAGGCGGTAACTGGAAATTTGTATATGCAACTGCAACAATTAGCGTGTAGACTCCTCATTGGCATGTGTGGGAATGTCCCGATTCCAGTAATGTCAGTTTTTCATTCATTCATTCAATCATTCATTTATGTGTTTATACCGTATACTGGATTTCCATAATGATATAAAACAAAACAAAATCCACATATAAATTGTATGTATACTTTCTTGTGTGATTTTAAAGTCACACGCATTACCAAATTATATTTTCACGAGTTCTCTACAGTGTTGAGGTTGGCTAGTTTTTCTTCGGATAGGTAAAATGTGAAATTTAAGTAACCTGTCAACGACCTGTGGAGCACCCAGGTGAACCCCACCTCCTCGTGGTGCACGCCGGCAAACTAAAGCCGCCAGATTTCAGGCTAACTTGGCAATGTCTCGCCTGGAAGGAGACGGGCACCAGCCAGGTTAGATTTCTTCTTGCCTCGCCACAAGACGGGCCTAGCAAGCCGGCAGTGGTGTAATCGATTGCTACTACACAAGACATATTTAATACCTGCGAAGAGATGAACAAATCCATCACATAAACCACACGAGAAGCACAATTCAAGTAAAGAAAACCACGACATTGGGCTACAACCTGGCATCAGTGAGACGAGAAAAGAAGAAGGAGATTTACAATTTTATACGATAATTAATAAACGCGTAGGGCGGCCACACACACACACACACACACACACACACACACACACACACACACACACACACACACAAACACAACAAATAAATTTCAAGCTGCCTCCAAACCAGTTCACTAAGTTATCTCTTATATTATACAGCTTAAATGTTCTTTCGTCATGTCTTTTAGTGGCGGGTGCATTCCTTTTCCTCCCGTTAGCATCCAGTTCTAGGCGTTATCAAGCACCGTCAGAACTTGCAATCATTATGAGACCCAGATAGCTGGCTTGGCCGTCGAACGCGACTAGATCTTTGCTGGTGACGTTCACATACACTAGATCATTGTGCCTGAGTTGGAAGACGCCCCCTGAAAATATAAAGGGAATTGGGAGTAAATGGAGCTCTTGGTCATTCACAACAGTCGTGGTTGCTGCGGTAGTTTTTGTAGACATTCGCTCCTACACTTAGAAAGGGAGTTGGGGAAAGGGGGGGGGGGGGAGTGGGAGGTTTTTTTAAATTATGTTTTTATTTCAAGTATTTCTAATTTTCGATTGAAGAGATTTCTATTATAAATTAGTGTTAGTAGTAGTGGTGGTGGTGGTAGCAGTAGTAGTTGTAGCAGCAGTAGCAGCAGCAGCAGCAGTAGTAGTAGTAGTAGCAGTAGCAGTAGTAGTAGTAGTAGTAGTAGTAGTAGAAGTAGTAGTAGTAGTAGAAGTAGAAGTAGTGTGCCCATTGACAGATACATTTAATAACATATTAAAAATAATATGAAAAACAAAACAAATACTTTTAAAGTTAATTACTCGTTAAAGGGTCTCTTAATCACAATATAATTTTGTGTTTCTGTATGTGTGTGTGAGTTATTGGGGTAGGGGAGCAAGGCCCCATTTATCGACAGAAATGTGTGTAAAGGGGAGGCGGGGAGAAAGGGTTGACAAGGGGCCTGAGATCCCAGGATCTGGCGTCTATTCTTGTAAATGTTATTGTATTATAACAGTGTTCAGTAATGCCGCTAATTTATGATAGTCTTTAATAATGTTATTGCTGTCTGACAGTTGTTGATAATGGTATCAATTTATGACCGTAACAAGTAATGCAACTAATTTATGATAGTCTTTAATAATCTTATTGCTGTATGACAGTTGTTGATAATGGTATCAATTTATGACCGTAACAAGTAATGCAACTAATTTATGATAGTCTTTGATAATATAGCCAGTTTATGATGTCACAAGTTATTCAACTAATTCATGATAGTCTTTGATAATGTAGCCAGTTTATGACATCACAAGTTATTCAACTAATTCATGATAGTCTTTGATAATGTTGCCAGTATATGACATCACAAGTTATGTAACTTATTGATGATAGATAGTCTTTGATAATGTTGCCAGTTTATGACGTCACAAGTTATGTAACTTATTGATGAGAGTCTTTGATAATGTTGCCAACTTATGATGTCACAAGTTATGCAACTTATTGATGATAGTCTTTCATAATGTTGCCAGTTTATGACGTCACAAGTTATTCAACTAATTGATGATAGTCTTTGATAATCTTGCCAGTTTATAACGTCACAAGTTATGCAACTTATTGATGATATTCTTTAATACTATTGCCAGTTTATGACAGTTTCAAATAATGTGCCTAATTTATTACAGTCTCAAGTAATGTGACAAATTTATGACAGCCTGTGATAATGTTACCAACTTATGACAATCTCAACTTATCTGACAAATTTGTGACAGTCTGTGTAAATATAATTGCACAATGACAGTCTTCAATAATGTTACAAATTTATGACAGTTTCAAGTAATGTGACTAATTTATGACAACGTTCAGTTATCGGAGCTGCTTCTTCTTCCGCGCTCTTCATTGAAAGGACAGTTGTCCTGCTGTGTTGTGGTTTGCAGCTAGGCACCTAGCGGTCCATCATACCCGATTTCGCCAAAGGCCCCATTTAGTCGCCTTTAACGATAAGAAGGTAGTGAGTTTATGTCCTCACCCACTTCCCCCATAAATAAGGGTCCCTTCACCAACAGCGTGTTTTATGTTATTAATTTATGAAAACCCTCACTAATGTGATTATATTATGAAAGTCTTCAGTTGTGTACTTACATTATGGCAGTCTTCAGTAATGTCATTACACCGTGAAAGTCTTCAGTTGTGTCATTAAAGTAAGACATCCAGTAATATCATAAAAGTAACACAATCAGTAGTGCAAATAAATTATGAGATTCTTTTTTGTAGTGTCACTAAAGTAAGGCATCCGGTAATGTCGTCGAAGTAACACAATCAGTAGTGCAATTAAATTATGAGTCTTCAGCTGTGTCACTTCAGTAAGGCATCCAGTAATATCATAAAAGTAACACAATCAGTAGTGCAATTAAATTACGAGATTCTTTTTGTAGTGTCACTGAAGTAAGGCATCCAGTAATGTCACCGAAGTAACACAATTAAATTTGAATTAAATTCAGTAGTGCACCTGAGTGCTGACATGCACACCGCAGTACCTGTGTAACTGGTGTGTACTTCTCTATCACAATCGGTAAAACAGGAATGGCAGCTGTGTGCCAGGGTCTCGTCTGGCCTATTTTCTCTGTTCAGTGAGATGTTGTGCTCCCATAGCTGTTGCAAATGTGTTATGGAGGCATTATATTATGTATTTATAGAGACACTAGGCAGACTGGCAATCATAATAACAAAGGACAAAAACGTACAAAGAGATATTAGGCCAGACAGCCAGACAAACAGACACACAGGTGAAAGACAGACATACATGAATTCAGTAGACAGACAGGTAGACCGATAGACAGACACATAGATAGACAAGCGGATGGAAAAGCAGACGGTCGGACGGAAGGATAGACAGACAGACAGACAGACAGACAGACAGACAGACAGACAGACAGACAGACAGACAGACAGACAGACAGACAGACAGATAGACAGATAGACAGATAGACAGATAGATAGATAGATAGATAGATAGATAGATAGATAGATAGATAGATAGATAGATAGATAGATAGATAGATAGATAGATAGATAGATAGATAGATAGATAGATAGATAGATAGATAGATAGATAGATAGATAGATAGATAGATAGATAGATAGATAGATAGATAGATAGATAGATAGATAGATAGATAGATAGATAGATAGATAGATAGATAGATAGATAGATAGATAGATAGATAGATAGATAGATAGATAGATAGATAGATAGATAGATAGATAGATAGATAGATAGATAGATAGATAGATAGATAGATAGATAGATAGATAGATAGATAGATAGATAGATAGATAGATAGATAGATAGATAGATAGATAGATAGATAGATAGATAGATAGATAGATAGATAGATAGATAGATAGATAGATAGATAGATAGATAGATAGATAGATAGATAGATAGATAGATAGATAGATAGATAGATAGATAGATAGATAGATAGATAGATAGATAGATAGATAGATAGATAGATAGATAGATAGATAGATAGATAGATAGATAGATAGATAGATAGATAGATAGATAGATAGATAGATAGATAGATAGATAGATAGATAGATAGATAGATAGATAGATAGATAGATAGATAGATAGATAGATAGATAGATAGATAGATAGATAGATAGATAGATAGATAGATAGATAGATAGATAGATAGATAGATAGATAGATAGATAGATAGATAGATAGATAGATAGATAGATAGAATAGATAGATAGATAGATAGATAGATAGATAGATAGATAGATAGATAGATAGATAGATAGATAGATAGATAGATAGATAGATAGATAGATAGATAGATAGATTAGATAGATAGATAGATAGCCTTGTCCCACCCTTTCACCCTACCTCATTCCCCTTTCAAATTACGATGATAAATAACCACCTAGCCTTTACACGCACGAGGAAAAAAAAAACAACATTTCATTGAAAGAGAAATCTTACAAACCCCTGGAACTGGATTTAAATTAACTGAGTTATCGAGTAACAATGAGAGCAGGTATTACGATGAATATAGAAAGATGTATCCACAGATAAAGGGACCTGAATGTATCTATGCCTTATATTTGTAGACTATTTATAAATATTTCACATCTTGATGGCTAAGATAATTGCTTTATATGGGAGTGGTTCAAACCCCCCCCCCCCCCACACCCCAACCCCCACACCATCCCCATTCCCCAGTTCCCGGTGAATGTGGAAGGTAACCGGAAACCAACACATAATATTCTTAAGAACTACATGCCATAAAACACTAAAATCTTTTCGACTGCCAGATTAGCTAATAAGGACTGCTTGGAGGAAGCTAACGAAAGTTGGTCAATATATACAGCTAGAAAGAAAAGACAAGCACTGCTCTTTAATCATGTGATAAGGGAAAAGGCTTTAGAGAATAGTGTGACGACTGGAAAGATAGCTACAGAAGATGGAGAGGCAGACCCAGAGCGCATGATGACGGATGGACTGCGATGGTGGCAAGGAGAGAAATCATCGGTGGAACTGATCCAGAGAGCGGGGGACCGAGATCAGTGGAGCTGCATGAATGCGAACGCCAGTCGGCAGGGCAAATGGTGATAGTGATGACCAAGACCTACCTGTTTGGCTTTCTGTACAAAAGCTATAGAAATACAAATGGAGGAAAATGTCTCTAAAGATATCTCAGTCAACATTTTTTTTATAACACGCACCCCCCCCCCCCGCAAACCAACACACATATGCACGCACATACACACACACACACACACACACATATATATATATATATATACACACACACACACACTGTAGAAGAAAACAACCCACCTTATACCCAAATGTTCCGACTCGTGGCTTGAAGTGCATACTCGAGTACACGAAATATGTTCCCGGAGCGTTGATGTGCAAACGCCCAGATGTTACTTTCAAGTCGTCGATGTGCAGCCTGGAGGACTCCCTGACGCTTCCCCCTGGCTGTGCCATGCTCAGTAGCTCTGGACTTTGCGCAAAATTATTGTCAGCTGTTAGAAAAATACAGGTTTTGAAAAGAGTTATGTATTACGGCTTCTGTTGATGTTGCTGCTGCTACTAGACCTCATACTTTACACCAGCAACCTCTTCATCGTTTGTTTGAATAATCACAAAGTAATTCTTTAAGTGTTTTCCTAGGCTATTGCTTTTATTAAAGCGATAGTAACATTGAAGAGAGGGGGGGGGGGTGTGCGTGGTCCTGATGTTCCGAGTTCAATCCCCGTTGAGGGCTGACATTTTTTCACGTGGCCTTGGACTTCTAGTAATCCCCCCTGGTCTCTGGGTAGTGAGATCGGACGCCCCTGTGTATTGTTCAGCACGTAAAAAAATCCTTTGGCAGGTGGAAATTGAAAAGAGTAGGCTAACGGCGATTCCCATGCAAAAATTATGGGTTATAAATCTACCCAAAGTATTTCAGGATCGTCGCCGGTGCTACAGAGCCTGTGCACTGTGCTAAGCTTCTTCGGACTCAGACTTGAGTTAGAAGAAGAACGGAGCACTTATGGGTTACTAACCGTGTGCCGTGATGTTGATCCGTTGTTTAAACCTTAAACCTCAACCGATATTACCAATAACAACCATTACTATCACTACTGCGGCTGCTACTTCTACTACTACTGCTTCTATTACTACAACTAGCACTTACTTGTTACTTGTTATCTGTATCGATGTTCTAGCACATCGGTCCGATCAATTCGTGTTCCGTCTCCGATAGAACAACCATCTCAATGTCTCCATACTCACTGTACCCAGTGGGAGTTGATTGGGCGTTATGTTTTTATATGCCCGGCAACCGGTGTCTGCATGCATGTCCTTGTTGAACATCCATTTGCACAGGCGGTTCAGAGTCATCCCACCTTCGCCGCAACGTCTTTGGAACGCAGCAAATTCCGTATGTCTGCCCTCTAAAGACATCTTTCTCCACTTACTGCTGCAGACTCAACCATTCTGTCGGCTGTTTCATTTCCTATCACCCCGTTGGTTCCGTGTATAAAGAGCCAACATAACCTTTTAAGGGAAGAATTCTGAATACTATCAACTCTTTGTAGTCAGAGTTTGCCAGTTTAGATCTTCGCATGTTCACTGAGTCAATCACTATGAATGCGTGAGCTGCTTTCTGTTCCGCCAGACATGCAAGTACCCATGAGAGAGCTGCTGTCTCCTTTGTGATACCAGAAGTCGTTGAACCGAATACCGGACTTTATACTCTACTGCCTTCCCATGTACATCTGCTGTGTATGCCCATATAGGACCATCTGTAGGATATCCTGCAGACGAGGGCCATTTTTTCAGCCTTAGCGGTTGTTTGGCTCTATTTTTTTTTGGCCATACCGCAACTGGCGAATATGACCCTCACCATGGTCCAGCTTTCTGTCTAGTGCAGGGCACTTCAACTGGCGGCCCGTGTGCCAAACCTGGCCCGCCAAAGCCTAACATTTTGCCTGCTGATAACTGCATGTTGTATTGCATTTATGGTCTTTTTATGCTGGGGCTGGGGATTCTGGCCCGTGACGATCCCCATTTTTGAACATTTTGGCCCCTGAGTTAACTTAGATGAAAAGCCCTGGACTCTAGTGCTTCTATCCGTTCAGCCAGACACACTCCATTGGGCATATTTTGTTAACGGTGTCCTCTACTTCGGACATCCAGGACTTTCCCTTTTTCAGGCGCATACTTTTGTTCACCCGCATGAATCTCTACAGAAGGTGCTTTATGTCAGCAACCACACCCAGATACGCCCTCACCCGGGTCATCGTGTATCTAGTGACCATATCTGACGGGTCGAGTGTATATCGCATCACATCACATATGGTGTCTCTTGTGCACCTGAGGATCATTTTGACTTTTTTTTTTCTAGTCTTTTTAGCTGACGCCTTCTGTGTGTAAAGAGACAAGGCTTATAGCCAGGGCTACCAATGCCTCCCCCCCCCCCCCAGATTTTTTATGACGCCTTGGGGAAATGTGGGTTAAAATTTTTTTTTTAAATATAAGGTGGTAAATGTTTCGTTTCGTAACCAAAATGTTGCACATTTTAACAATCTGGGTTTTTTTTATTTTTAAATTTATTCTTTGTCTATGTATTGCTTGGGTTTTTGTTCCACTTAGCTAGGTTAAAAAAAAAAAAAAAAATCACATAGGCAGTCCTGCTTATAGCCAGTAATCGAGTGCACCAAATCTCAAAGAAACCTAAACAGCAGCCATTTCTCCATCTTAGCTACTGCCGTTACTCTAAGCTTTTGCAGATAGGTAAGTGCTTTGCTGGAATAAAAGTAACTGTCCCGTTTAAACAACATCTCAGGCCTCAGAAATGAGATATCTGAGAAACGTGGTCCGTGTGACAAGAAGGGACAAAGTCCGCAATCAGACAATACGTCAAGATCTTGATACCCAGTCCTTACAAACCCGAGTGGATCAGTAACAGTTACGATGGTTTGGACATGTATGCAGAATGGGAGAAAATCTGCCGCCATGGCAGGCATGGGAGGCTAAGAACCACAGAACCAGACCTCCAGGGCGGCCCTGTGTGCGCTAACTGATAGAGGACTGGAATGGAACAAAGCCAGAAAGAAAACTGCTGATAGAGACGTCTGGCGATCTCTCTGGCAAACCTCTACACCCCAAGGTAGAAGAGGAGCGACTAAGTAAGAAAGTAAGTAAGTTAAACAAAGGGGACTAATTGTGACTAGGTTATGTGTGCCGCATAAAATGGCTTAGCGTGTGTGTGTGTGTGTGTGTGTGTGTGTGTGTGTGTGTGTGTGTGTGTGTGTGTGTGTGTGTGTGTGTGTGTGAGAGAGAGAGAGAGAGAGAGAGAGAGAGAGAGAGAGAGAGAGAGAGAGAAAGAGAGAGAGAGAGAGAGAGAGAGAGAGAGAGAGAGAGAGAGAGAGATAAAAGAATGCAGACGCAGTCATAATAATGAGAGGAAAGATACCATTAACTTGAAAAGATTACATTTTCTTAAACAAGGAGTTCAAACTGGCTAAAATATGTTTACAAAAGCGTTTGTTGCATAGTTACGGTTCAAAATTACAGATAAAGTTGGCTACACTTTTCTATGTCTAACTGAACAATTCGGCGCATATGCCGTTGTGGAAATTAATACAAAATGTTGCACGCTATTATCATCGTTATGTGCCATTATGTGTCTTGTCAATTAGCGTCGGCGATTATGCCTCTCCCAAAACTACGATCTCCAACATCTTATGTCATTTTGCAGCAACATTTCTCCTTGCTATGACAAAACGCTGTTAATGATTATCTCACGTTGTCTTTGTCTACCCCTCCCCCTCCCCCAACTTCCCCCCACCCCCACCCCCCGTTTTCCCCCAAAGGTTTTCCAACGGACACATGCCCCACCCCTTCCGCCCCTCCCCTTCCATTAAAAATAAGGGATGACTCTTTCATTTTCAGGTTTGGGATAAGTTGGCCCTCGCATGTTTCGTCTTTGAGATTATGACCTTCAACCCCAACAGGACATCGAAGGGAGCGATAAACACCCGGTGACACAAAAAGCCACCATTCCGCTGAGGATCACTTGGGGATAGGTTACAGAAACCCTATTCAACCCATTTGCCGGGTTCTATTAGGGTCGGAGTGGGGCTTTAAAACAGCAAACAATTGCATCCGACATTTGGAAGTTGCTGAACCGTTTATCTTCACCCGTATAAGACTGCATGTTACGACCGGGGCTGACGTAGGTATCGCGGGTACCCTTATTATAATTTCTTTAAAGGTTGAATGGGCCATCTGGGTTCTGCCTTGTTGGTCTGCCATCCAGGCAGAAATTTTTAAACCTCGGGGTAGTTTGGTTAACCTTTAGGTAATATGCAGGAGGAGACAAACGGATCGACTGATGAACCACACCTTTCATAATATATGGTCCCTGTGTGGTTTCCTGGGGCCCTGTTATATGGAAAACAAGAACAGACCCACTGTCTACCCAAAAACATGTCGTAAGAGTCGATTAATTGGAAGCTTCCTTCAAAGTCAAAGTGCATCTGTCTGAGAGACAAAGAACATACAGTTTGCTCACAAATTAGTCAGATCGGTCAATCGGATGCACACGCAACATTCAATTTCTGGAACAAACAACCAGAACTTCTCGCCAGAGTTTTCAGCTGGTGAATGCGAAGAAGAAGAAGATAATACAAGGTCTGACAATTAAGTAATAAGACTAACTCCATAACAGTTTAAATAATCAACAGTTGAAGGTATAACCTGTATCTGATTCAAAGTAAGCCCCTTGTGCATTGATACAGCAATCGGCACGATCTAACAAACATCGTAGTTCTCTGTAGTTCTTTTGTTGTATGGCCCTTAAAGTCAAATTATGGTCCTTTGGATGTCATCAGTATCGTTACAGAAGCATCCTTTCAATTGTACCTTTAATTTGGGGAATAGAAAATAATCACAGGGAGACAAGTCTGGGGAATAGGATGGAAGACTGAGAACAGACACTAGTTTTTGGGGGTTCAAATTGTTGTTTTGATGATAACTCTTGGGTACTCAACCCGCCGATGTTTTTGGTCATCAGACAACGAATGTAGTACAAATCGGCAAGTAACTTGGGGGGGGGGGGGGGGGGGGGGGAAGGGGGAATCTTGGAATAAAATGTTATTAATGGTCTCTCTATTAACACCAGATTCATCTGCTTTCATCATCACAGTAAAGCAATAATCTTTTTTTTATGCGTTCTCTAAATTTTGCAGTGAGTTCATCATTACGAACAGAAATTTGGAGTCCAAATCTATGTGCATCAGTAATCATTTCCACACCACTTTTGAATCGTGAATACTACCTAAAAAATGTGTGCACGAGATAAACAATTATCCCCATAAACTTGTTGCATTTATTCAACTGTTTCAATCGCGCTTTTTCTGAGTTTTAACAAGAATGTAATGTTAGCTGTTTGCTCCGCGCTGATTTCGCAACAATGCCCCTCTGATTGGGTCAACCAAATGGCGACTTGTGTATTATCTGCTTATCGAGCAGCGATGTAAAGTTGCCAGATCACAATTGAATGTTGCCTCTTTATATTTCATGTTTTGCTTCATAGATGGCATTTTTGTCTTGGCCATAATAAAATCAGTCTCATTACTTAATTGTCGGACCTTGTATTTGCGTTACTCATTTTGGCTGTCCAGCGTAGCGTATTTTTCTGTAAAACCACAGAAACTATAAAAATTTAATTAAACACATTAAGACATTTTAGCATGTGGTTAAAAAATATGCAGGCATGGTTGACTTACGTGACTGGACGTGCGACTGGAAGCTTACGTGGGCGCTAACAGATCGAAACTTGGGCTGGGTGACATTGACTGATTCTGAAAAGGAAGAAAGCAATTCTCTCCTCTCCAACTGGTTCATTACCAGACAGTTTTTATGTTAACGCGTTGAGTATGCCGGGTTCTCAGGTTCGAATCCTCTGCAAAGTGATATGTTTTGTTTCATGTTCCGAGAATAAAATTCCTAACCTGCATTGTCGGTGGCGACTAAACTAGCCATGTTGCCATAAATTTTCAGGCTAAAGACCCTCCTCCCATCCAGTCCTACATCACTTTAAAAAGTCGTATTTTTGTATGTGTTCGTAATTAAAACTAATACTAAACCTACAATTTTAATTATAATATTCAATCGGTACTGCAGTATAAGCATGGTAAAGAACTAAAACAGGAAACAAGTGAATGATAAACCACAAACATTCATTAACTGGTGCCTGCGAAAACGGGAGAGGGTTAAATGGTTTGATGGGATAAATAAGTTTGAGCTTTAGAAGAAAACTTAACAAGTTCAGTTGGACTAGAGGTGAAGAAAAGACGGTGGCGTTGAATATGATACACGTTGACAAAACCTGAGAACAATATAGATGAAATGTCATTGCACTAGTACCAACAGAGGCATAGAAGTAAAAGGGCAGTAAAAAAAAAACATGAAAGAAAAAAAAAAAAAGAAAAAAAAAAAACCCAAGCTAGAGAGTGTAGTTAAAATTATTGGGAGGACATGGGATGAGCTGCATGCGATAAGGATGGGTATAACGATTTAGTGAGACTTGTTTAAGGGCCTTTGCTCTACAAGGGGTTACAAGTCAGAAGAAAAAAAGAAGACTATGTATGTTTTGAATTCTTCTTCGTTTATATGATACTGTATATTTTATGAGTTGAGTTGAGTCAAGAATTGACATTTCAGCACTCGGGGCATTCCCATGCATGCTCCGTCCTCATCTTCAGCAGCCAGTGCCAATACTAATGGTACCGGTCCACATCTGGTTATATATCCGTCTTGCCTTTCCTCTGAGAGTAGTGAGCCGACCAGACCATCTGGTTACACCCAGGTGCCTCAATCTCTCGAGGCCATAATTATCTTCTATCTCTACTGATTCTGTTGCTTGTTCCCAAAGGGCCTTGACCACATTTGCCTCGTCATGTATTATTTCACCACCCAGTGGTGAGATCCAACCAATCTGTTCATTACCCGCCCCGCCGGCATGGTCTGGAGACAAGATCAAAAGTATGCTCGCTTCCCGTGACCTTTCCAAAGAAGCTTTAATATTTATATAATGTGCTCATTTAAATAACTATTTGGTTGAACAGAAAGAGTTGCGGGAAACACTGGATTTGGCTGTCAAATGTAACAGCTTAACGGACTTGAATCGAGAACCTGGTAACAACGGGCACGGTTGTGGCCGAAAGAAAGCAAGAGGATGACCAAAAGATAAACAACTGGATGGCCTGGTCAGATGGAAGGCATGAGACAGCATTAAACTGATCCGCGAGTCTCACAGTCGGGCGAGACGGCGAAACATGACAGCCTACGCTCACCGGCACGACACATGATGATGACGAATAACCCACAAGGAGTTCAGAATTCATATTCTCTCTCCTGTGGGAATAGAAATGAAACAAGTGATACTAGATTTCTGAGTAAATTATTAAAACTAAAAAAAAAATCAAGTTATTAGAAAAAATGGTAGCAACACATCAACAACCACTGGTATCAAAAGTTATCAGACAAAGAAGATGACGAAATATTGCGCACATAGCGGGGAAACGGGGACAGAAAATCATCAAACAGGCATTGTAATAGGAAGTGAATAGGGTGCGATCACGAGGATTCTCAAGAGAAAACCTAAAACAAACGTTGACGACAGTGGACCAAGATAGTGAGACTGGATTCTATCCACATAATCGGAAAATGTCGCACATAGTTTAGTTTAGAGTCGACGGATCAACATCAAGACGCTCACGGATGTAACCTATAACTGCTCCGTTAAACTTGTAACTAAAGCCTGAGTTTGAAGCGTCTCAGCCCAGTGCACGAACTCCGTTGCACCGGTGACAATCCATAAATACTTTGTGTAGGTTTTTAACTCTAAATTTTGCTCGGGTAGCACCGTTAAGCTACTGTTTTCGATTTCCAACTGTCAATGGATTTTTCCAGTGCGCTAAAATGCACTCTTACTACGCAGAGACCAGGGGACATTACTAGAAGTCCACGCGTGGACTGCAGCCCTCACCAGGGTTTGAACCCGGGACTTCTAGCACTCGAGGTGGATGCCATACCTCGAGACTACGTTGCTCTTCTTCCCCAGTGTCAGGCTCCAGAGGAAGTCGAATCCTCGACCTTCTGCTTACTAGGCTATGGAGCCATGTCGTGCATGCTAGAACAGAATGGAGACACTGGCTGAGAGTCATTAAAATGGAGTGACAGGAAACTGATGATAATAGTCGTGTTGCTGGTAAAAATAATGATAACTGAGGTAGTGATGGTAATAATGATGATGATGATGATGATGATTATGATGGTGGTCGGGTTGGTGATGATAATGATGATGAAGGAGGGGTTAGCGGGATTATGGTAATGATAATAATTATGTTTCTGTGATGGTGACGATATTGACGATGATAATGATGGGGGCGGGAGTGGTTGTGGTAAAGGTGATGATGATCATCATAATAACGAGCATTCAGTCTTACCACTGACGTTCCGTAGGGTGATGAACATCTGAAAGAGAGGAAAAAATTAAAAACAAAATGACTTCATTCAATGCTAGATGTAACAACATAGAAGATTCTGTCGCAGATTTGAGAAGTGTCAGGCCGTTACAAATGGAGACAACTTGCTAATGGAACGAGGGATACAGCAGGCTTATGGATCTTGTATTTTCTAAAATGTTCTTATCCCCCCCCCCCCCACCCCCCACCCCACTCCCGTTTTGTTATGGGTCTTGCCATAGTAGCTTCAGTAGTTTAAAGTTGAAATAAGAATCAACATCACAGCAGTTGGGACACTCCCATAAGGGCTCCGTCCCCATCTTCAGCAACAATCGAAGAGTTCCAATTCTGATGGCACAAGTAAGTGATTGTATATCCGTCTCCCCTTTTCCTTGAGTGTTGAGCGTCGGCCGGATCTCCTGGTCACTCCTCCCAAAGCCATTCTGTCCAGACCGTAATGATCTATGTGTGCCTCCGCACTGTTCACTTTCGTCCAAAAGGCCCTCACATCTGTCTTGTCATACATCAGTTCATCACCAAGTGATGCAGAATCGGTCAATGAGCTCCAGTAGCTAGTGCATAGCCATCTTGCCTTCTGGCTTAGTGGTTCGAATCATCATAGAGTTATATTTTTCTTTAAGTCCCTAGTTGACATAGTCTAAAAATAGTAGCAGGAATGTCCAGGGAGGTAATGGCAACAAGCCTTGACTACATCATACACAGAGTACCAGCAAGCTCTTAAATTATGAAATTACCACCACTTATCTAATACCTCACTGTGTGTGGGGGGGGGGGGTGGAACTTTACTTACAGCACCGGTTCTCAGCGTGTGGGTCGTGACCCCTTTTATTTTTGGTCGAACAACCTTTTCACAGGGGTCACCAAAGAGGACAGTCGAAAGTGCAGTCGAATGAAGAGAAGTCCAGTTGACAGAGTTAGAGCTAGAGATCTGGACTCCTTCTATAACAAGCTATCTCGTGCGACGATGAATTTGAAGCGGTAGGATCACCAGTGAAACAAGATGATGTTGGTGACAGCTGTGTGCTGAAGGAGACTCAGGCTTGGAGTCCTGACGGTCATTGGTGTTTCTTCGACGAGGCAGATGTGTTGTGTGCACACACTAGAGATCAAGAATCAGAAGTTTCCCAGTCAGCCATTGTGATAGTGACTGCTACGTATAGAGCAACGGAGGTCAAGTTGAGTAGGAGATGTAACCTGTTCATCGGTACAGCAAAGCCCTGAAGTGAGTGGAGCTGGAGACCTAGACACTGTAGCGGTTAGCTCAGCGTGTAGTGGCAGCTAGTGTAGACTGTCTGAATGAGCTCCGCTGTGTTAGTATCGTATCGTATAAAATCAAACAAAAATTCAAAACTTAGTCCTTTTTTAGCCGCCTGATGGCCTGCTTTTTCAAGGACAGTTCCTTTGCTATCTTATTTTATTTATATTCCTTGTGGTGATCACTTTCACCTGAGTTTGTTCATTTGTTGCCTAAGTTCTGGTTTTGAGGGGCCTGGTTCCTGTTTAATTGGCTATTCGCTAGCTTTTCTCTGTTCATCTGTGTTAGCACCAAGTCAGTTTGAAACAAACAGTTCCGCATACTGAGCGCCCTAAAACACGGCCCCCACAGGACGACTGTCACAATCTTGTTGTTGTGTGCAGCCGTTAGATAAGTAGAGGAGGTAACAAAGGTTGCAAAAAAATTAGAACGCCCGAAGGTGCAAAGATATTGTATAGCTAGGTCGGAAGTTGGAGAGAGACAGATAGCTTGCTAGGTTGAGGAAGAGGTCCTTGGTGGGTTGAGTCCTGCACACTGCCTGCTCTGCCTGGGTGGATCTGAAAAATAGACTGATTTACATTTTAGATATATGTGGGGAGGGACGGGTGAGGTTATCAGAGTAGCGTAGTAGCCTGGAATTCCACAAGTGCTGGTCCCCTTATTGTGCAATGCCCTTTTAGCTGGTTTGCCTCAGAGCGTCGGGTGGCCTTTGGTGGGTTTCTTCGGCTTTTAGCTGAAAATGAGTTTATTAATATTGAAACATATGTGGGAGGGGCGGGGAGTTTACAAAATGAAATGCATAACAGACTGAAATCCACGAGTGCTGGTCCCCTTCTTGTGCTATGCCCTTTAGCTGGTTTGCCTCGGAGCGTCGGGTGGCCTTTGGTGGGTTCGGTCGTATTATTCTTTCTGAAAATATACTATGAGAAATTATGTTAGTTGAATTTTTTAGTCTGGTTGATTCGCCTGTGGTGGAGAAGGAGTGGAGGTGGTACAGGCTGAGGGGCAGGAATGCCTTTGAGAGGACATACAGTGAGGTCGGAAGAGTGAGTGAGAGGTAAAGTTGCCTCTGTTGTGGGTGCTGGTACTCGCTGGATCTGGTCACATCATGATGGGGGTGGCTCTCAGATCGCTTTCCCGGTTCTGGATATGAACTGCTTCACAAGTCGCTGGATCTTGTCGTCACAGCTCACACTGAGGCAGTTTTCAGTTGTCATAGGTTGGTTTGAGGCTCTGAAGTGCAGCACGAGCTCTTGTCTCTCTATTTCGTGGTGTTTACAGTTTAGTAAGAAGTGCTCCATGGAGTTGGGGGCCCTGCATTCCTCGCACACAGGAGTGCGGAATCGGTCTGGCCAACACCCTAGTCGCATCTTCCACAGTTTTCGAATGGCCGGAATTTTGGTCGGTTTAGTCACTTGATTCTTGAGACTGGGTTTGTTGAGTAGTTTGTAGGCAGCTCTGCCTTTGTCGCTGGTCGACCACTGTTGGGACCATTCTCTGCATATTCTGCTTTTGATAATCGCTTTTAGTTCAGTTTTGCCCAGTCCCGCGAATACTGTGTTGTGGCTAACCGTGCCTCTCTTCGCCGCTCTGTCTGCTGCTTCATTGCCCTCAATGCCTATGTGTGCTGGGATCCAACCAATGGTAGTTTGGCATCCCAGGCTTCTGAGTCGGGTGGAAATTGTCAGGATTTCCTCTTTAATGTCTTGCCGGCTCACTTTCGAAAAGTCTCTCAGGGCTTGTACTGCTGATAGTGAGTCAGAAAGGACGAGAAGTTTTATGGGGGGCCGTTCGCAGGCTAGCTCCAGTGCTTTCAGAATCCCTACCAGCTCAGCTGAGCAGACTGCCATATCGTTAGTGAGTCGGTATTCGTGTGTGGTCTTCCAGGTCGGTATGAAAACACCTGCCCCGACTTCTCCCGTGCTGGTTTTCGAGCCGTCGGTGTATATAATCATAGTGTCAATTTCTGCGTCACGGATGTACTGTTCGACTCTCGACCTTGCATCGAGTATGTCATGGTTTCTGTCTATCACGTGGGCGAGGCTTTCGTCGGTGAACGGTGTCTTAAGCTCCCAGGTGGGGATGGTCGGGTGGTATTTCTTACCGCTGGTTATGGTGGTGGTGTCAATTTCGGATGCCGTTTTCCAGGCGGCCGGTCTCTGGAATGTTTGCATTGGAACGCTGACCTTTGACCAGGGGTATTCGTTGACAGCCAGTGCCTGGATGGCAGGGTGGCGTGGGTCAAGTGCCGCTTGGGACCAGTAGCCGTGTCTAAGTTGTTTTCTGCGTAGTTTTAGTGGTATGACGCCCAAGGCTACTTCCATGGCTTCTTGACTAGTTCCTTTCCCTGCCCCCAGGATGATTGCCATCGCCTGGTTCTGAATAGTGTCTAGTGTCTCTTTTTTGGCATCAGAAGCAGCATCGTATACGATCGAACCGTATTCAATTTTGCTTCGGATGAATGCCTTGTAGAAATTTAGTAGTGTCTTTGTGTGTGCACCCCAGCCGGATCCTTTGATAATTCGTAGCAGGTTGTTATTGCTCTTGCATCTTGCGACAGTTTGTTCAATGTGTCGACCCCAGCTCATTTGGGAGTCGAGCAGCATTCCCAGAAATGTCGTTTGTATCTTTCTCTGTATTCTTTGACCGTCTATTTCTATGCGGGTGTCAAAGTCTTCGTACGTTCGTACTCTTTTCCAGTTGAAAATCATCTGGGTGGTCTTGGTTGGGTTGATACGAAATCCCCACTTCTCCATCCACCTTGTAACGTTGTTGGTTGCCCTCTGCAGCTGGTTTCTGGCTAGCTCTAGGTTGGAATCTGAGCACCAGATGGCGCAGTCGTCGTCGGCGTACTGTGATAACATGACGTTTTTTTCTCCTATGGCCTCCGCCAGGTCATTAACGAGGATGGAGAAGATCACCGGGGAAATCACCGAACCTTGGGGGGTGCCGTTCTCTTGCGAGTGGGTTGCCGATTTTGCGTTTCGCACTATCACTGAGTAGGTTCGGTCTTGGAGGAAACTCTTGATGTAATTGAGCGTTTTCCCCACAATTCCTACTACACTCAGTTTCCTGATGGCGGCTTCCCTCCAGCAAGTGTCAAAGGCACTGGTAAGGTCAAGAAAAATGGCGATTGTTTTCTCTCCTTTTAAGAAACCTCTCTTGACGTGATCCTCGAGTTTGATCACCTGGTCAATCGAGGATCTGTTAGCTCTGAATCCGGACTGGGTGCAGCTGTACTTGTTGTTTTTTTTTCGAGATGGAAATTAATTCTTCTAGTGACCACGGTCTCCATCAGTTTTCCTAGGTGGGAGGTCAGCGAGATAGGTCTGTATGAGTCCAGTCTCTGCGTGTCCCTTTGAGGCTTGGGAACTGGTATGACCGTGGCGTGTTTTTCCATTGTTGTGGGATTGTCCCTTCTGTCCATACATCGTTGAACAGCGCCGTTAGCACTTCAAGTATTTTTCTAGGGAGCATTTTGATTAGTTTGTAACTCAGAATGTCTGCCCCTGCTGCTGTGTCTTTTTTCGCCCGAAGCGCTGAGGTGACCTCGTCGATTGTGATGTCGGTGTCGAGGTAATAATCTGTGATGTCTGGTTCAGGCTTAAGTTCTCCAGTTGCAAGAAGTCGTTCTCGTCTCCCCCTCTCTGTTGGGCCGAGCATCTCTGTTGAGCTGATCTCATAGAAGAATTGTCCAAACATATCGGCCTTTTCTTTGTCTGTGATCGCCAAGC